TATATATCATCTAATTTGATGATATTACATATTGTCACAAACGCTCTCAAACCAAAACCGCGAAAATACTGGAGACAGATTTTACCGCGGGTCGCTAGGAGAATGATCACGATAAAGGTCGAGTGGTGCTGTTCATTTTGATATGAGCTTTATGCAGTACGATGTAAGGGAGAAAGTCTAACGACATCTCACTTGTTTACAACTTATGCGCGATATCTACGTTTAAGTAGGTACTACGCACTCGCGGGTGTTAGTTAACTCTCAATTAAACTGGACTTTTCTAGAATGCGTCGATTGGCGTATATAAGCGCGTTCGGAGCCGCGTATTGAACAGTTGAGTTTCAACAGAGATTTTTGAACGAAAACAAACGCGATGTAAGTGTTCAAATGCGATTTAGTGCAGTCATTGAAGCATTTTAGGTCCGATTTTTTTTACTGTGGACCGAATTGCATACAATTTTGGAATTAGGTTCATCTTACCCTTAACTTCAAAAGTGAAAATGATTTGAATCCGCAACCACCCTGGGGGTGGTTGCCACCCCTTCTCGGGGGTGAATTATTTTTTTTTAAAATAACCTCGGATATCGATAGAAAGCCTAATAGTAAGCAATAAATCATCTATAAAGTTTTTCAAAAAATCCAATACTTTTCAAGTTATTGGCAATTGAAAATTCGCAATTTTTTCACGTTTTCCATCGGTTTTTTGCAAATATCTCCAAACATATACGTTTTATCGAAAATTTTATCAGGAACATAATTGTAGCAGGTAAAACAATAAATAATTTGGTTTTTTATAAAGTATTCTAAATGCAATATTAAGCTAGATATTAAAAATCAAAGCCGTTTTTTATTTTGTCTGAAATTTAATCGATGTGGTCAATGCCATCAAGCGGCGAGCAGATGCATTTTATGTATTCTAGTACAAAAGGGTTTTGTAGTGCTTGAAATAAGCTTTAAAATGAGTACTATTAAAAGTCTTTTGCATGTAAAATAAGTGAGCTGTATTGCAAATAAGGGGAGCATCTAATGTTTTTTCTTTTAAATCAATGGGTTTCAAAAGTGCCATTTCCACCAAAATTAAAATTAATCGTATTCCGTCTAGAATTAACTTTATTATGAAGAGTTTGATAGATAGTATCAGTTTGGCTGCTTCAGGACATATATTTTTCAAAAAAGGTACGATTAAAAACAAAAACAAAATTTCAAATTTTTAAAAAACCCACTTTCTTTTCATAATATCTCAAAAATGACGACAGATACGTATAAATGTGTAAGGATTAAAAATTTAGGTATTTTTCTGACAGACAATTCGGTTTTTTTGTTTTTTCTGTCAAACAAAAATTGACGGAGATATGATTGTTTAAAGTGCGCGTGGCAGCGCAATCACAGCCTCTCTTAAGCCCTTTAACCCTTCACCGTTTTAGAAAAAGGCTTTTTACTATATATTGCTATGAAGGAAATTGTAGCTCTCTTAATTACCTTTACAATGGTTTTTTATAAATTGTGATAGCATGAAAATTGAAGGAGCTATACTTATCATATTTTTTTCTACTTAGTAACTGAAAATTTCGGAGTGTGAATATTTGGAGCAATGTGAAAGTACGCAGTATAATAGAGACCCACAACTATTGTAATGTGTATATATATACATAATATGGCTCATATATTTTGGAAACGTAGGCATGAATACATACCAACGTTCTTATATGTATATATGACACATTTCATCATTTCATCATCATCATCATTCATCCAACGGATTGGGGGTGGGTCATGAATGACGGTTTATTAAATCCACTTAAGTCTGCAGATCCACCCGCACCACAAGGACTGCTGAAAATGATTTTTTGCAACTGCAAAAAAGGATGTGGAGCGTCTTGCGGATGCAGAAAAGTTGGTCTGTTTTGTAATAGTACCTGTGGAACGTGCAGTGGAGATAACTGCCAAAATAGCCCTCCAATTCAGCCAGAAGATGTTGAATGTGACAGCGACTCCGACATTGAGTCATGAATAATAATATTATATTTTAATATTAATAGTACAATTTTATATAATAAGTAAATATTTTATTCAATAAATGGCAATTTTTTACTCTAAATTAAATTATTTTTAAATATTTAATATATATATATGGGTTGAAAATGATTTTAATATGAGGTAATTATGTTAGAAAATACTTTACAATTTCATCACTTACTATTAGACATGTTTTCTAGCGATAAAATGGCTCAATGTAAATTTTTCCATTAAGGGGTTGTTTACACCCCTTAAAAATAATAGGCGGAGTTCAGATCATTTTCACTTTTGAAGTTAAGGGTAAGATGAGCCTAATTCCAAAATTTCATGCAAATCGGTTCACAGTAAAAAAATTCGGAGGTAAGGCCGTATTTTTCGCTTCAATGACTGCACTAATTGTTTAGAGAATTGTTTAGTGTAAAGTGAGTGTATCATTGTGAGTTTAATAAATAACTGTGAACTGTGTGGTGAATAAAGAACTGTCAAGCGAGAATTGGCTTATAATTTCGAACCCCATCACGACAAGTAATAATATAATTATTAGGGCATGGATGGATGTTTGAATGTTTGCAATGTGCTAAATGTTTCAAAATCTTTCTATGGGTTTTAAAGCACGGGTGTAGATAAAGTTCGTTTGTATTATTGGAAATACGAGACAAAATTTTGATTATTGGATTGAACTAGTATTAGAATTCTTTGTTCGTCATGGGGCGCCGAGAGAGTAACACGCGTGCATAGCTAAAAATGTTACACAAGTTAATATGTTAAAAGGAAATCTGTAATTGGTATTAGTATAAGAAAATATTATTAATGTAACTAGAAATAAGACAATGCTGTAGATTTCCTGAAATAAATAAATTAATTGCCACTATTAAAGATTGTGTTGCAATTCTTGGTCGGATTACTGAATGAGTGGATCTGTCATTAACGATCAAGCTTGTTAACTTGAATGGATTACCGTCCATAGCTTGTTGCTTAGCAAATTAGCTGATTAGGTCACGTAATATAGTGACAGTGGTGCCATCATCACGGTCACGATTCTCTGATACAGATGAGTTTTTTCTTAAAGAAATAGATTTAAAATCAAATTAAATTAATTTTATATGAATTATTAAGTCGCCAATTCAGCCATAACTCGAGAAAGTAACGTGCTTGCTAACGTACTATTAAAGCAATTAAAGGTCATAAGCGGTCAGACAGTAGGGTAACCAGATTTAACAAGTAATATTTATGTCTTGATATATTTTCTAATTATTTTTCTATAGTGAAACACATAAATTTCTAATTAAACTTACTTTATCTGGAAAACCATGAAAGGCTTGTGCCCTGGTAGTAGGGTCATTGAATGATGAAATTACTGAAATACAAAATGAGAAAATAATATTATTTTATGAGCTACTATAGCTGTTAAATTTATCAGGTTATTTTAAAACATTACCTGTAAGTAAAATATACAAAAAACGGACCAAGTGCGTGTCGTGCCACGCGCAGTGTAGGGTTCCTTAGTTACCACAATATATTTGAGCAGGAGTCTCTATTTTCTATATTGGAAATTAGAAAAACCAATTAATATCAATCAATGTATCTCAACTATAATACCTAAATCTAAGTCAAACTGCGTCTCAAACTCAAAATCATTCGATTTGTTTTTAAATACCAATAATACCCGCCGATTATTTTTTGTATTCTCCCAGGCGGCGGAGCGTGTGTGAAATCCTCATGGATACCCTACAACCGGCTGCAAGGTTATGTCAGACTCTTACTGACTAAAACACACCCGTAATTCATGCTCATATCCAGAAGGGCCTACAAGCTTCATCTGAAGTGAATTACAATATTATTATTAATTATGATGCGGTATAATCACCGATCTTTTCAGGTGCTTATATATTTTTTTTATAAAAACGTAACATTAGCAGGACTCAGAAGCCTTTGCCGTTGGTACTCGCGGTAGCGTTGTGGAACTAATGATATTTTATTGGGGGTTTTAAATAATTTTTTTAAAGAATTTGTTACAATGCCAGTTTTTATGGTACAATAACTACTTATCATCTATGTCACTATTAATGTTTTCTTCTGAGGAATTTTCAATGGATAAGAAATTTTCTTTAACGAAATTTGAACGACTATTACTCTGAAAATAATAAATCTATCTTAACCTATATAGTTTTCCTCATAAGTTCATGAAAAACACTATTATCACAAATATTTTCAGGTTTTCTAAGCCAATAGTTAAGCTTTTAGAAGGAAGGGGGGGGGCGCCTTCCTCGAACAAAAATTAGCACTTTAAAGTTCAATATTTTGCAAATGTATCCCTAAATCGAAAAATAGTCGAAAAATAAACGATGGGGTAGATGATGAAAAAAATCATCTACCTGTAGCTAAAAAATATATATTTTAAAATTTTATTCTACCACTTTGTAGGCGTGTTCAATATACATATCTCCACAAAATTATAGCTCTCTAGTACTAATAGCCTCCAAGCAAAACTGGGGACGGACAGACGGACATGACGAAACTATAAGGGTTCCTTGTCAGGACTACGGAACTATAAAAAGTGCGATTCTTGAAAATATAAACGATAATATTCACTTTCATGTGCATTACGTCCAAGTAGGCAGACACTCAAAGTTGGCGTTAATGTTAATTAGATTCATTAATCGAATATTGAGGATTCCCACGAACACGTGTAATCATATCTATAACGTATTCAGATTTGAAGCTACAACTCATCTCTTAAGAGATGTAGAATAGCACTTCTTGTACTATAATGTAATTTTGATTTCCATTGGCCGGGCCACATTGTATGCTGGGCCGGATTTAAGGAAGTGCAGGTGGGGCTATGCACGGGCGTAGCCAGGGGGAGGGTTTTGGGGGGTCAACCCCCCCCCCCCCCCGAAAAGTTAAGATATCAACATCAATAATATCAAAATAAGGAGAGGCGAGCGGCATAACTTATTTAATTACTAATTATTACACTAATAATGTATTTTGGATTCGCCCTCTACTACCCGCCGCCGCGCGTCGTCATTTATCCTATCGCATTCGGTAACCTTCGTATATTTTCGTTTCGTATCGGCACGGTATTGTTATATATCCCCACCCACACTATCCCACTCGCGCTCCCACTCTCGGCAGTGCTACCCGCAAGAAGTACATCTGTTGTCAAAGCAGAACTTGAAGTGTGGAAAGCAGTTGTGACTATCACCTCCCCTACTCCAAAATCTGCTTTGGAATGCTTAGATACGTGCAATCAAAAATTATATCCAAATATTGACACGTTGTTACAAATATTGCCTACCATACCCGTTTCCACTGCTTCACCAGAAAGGACGTTTTCAAGCCTGCGGAGACTTAAAAACTACTTGCGAAACACAACGAGTAAAAACAGACTGAACTGCTTGGCTCTCATGAATATTTACTATGGGATAGAAATTGATGTGAATGAAATAGTATATAGGATATATTTAAAATGAAAAGCAGAAGATTAATTCTGCTGTAATCAAAACCTTCAAATGAACCTTCTGTTTCTTTTTAGGGTTCCGTACCTCAAAAGGAAAAAACGGAACCCTTATAGGATCACTTCGTTGTCCGTCCGCCCGTCTGTCTGTCTGTCAAGACCATTTTTCTCAGGAACGCGTGGAGGTATCAAACTAAAATTCATATCTAATACTCATATCTACTGTCCTTTGGCGCTGTGAAAATATCAAACTTCTAAGCCAAAGCAATCAAAAGATACAGCCGTTTATGCCGCAAATTTTCGAAACTCGCACGGGAATCAAAACCTACATAGTACTTCCCGTGAACTTAGAATCTTGAAATTTGGTACGAAATAACGTCTTATAGTACAGATAAAGGAAAAATTGCGAAAACCATAAATTTTTAGTTACATCATATAATAAAAAATATTTTTGAAAGTTTTAAAGTTACTACCTCTTTTCTCATGAACGTGTAGATGTATTAAATTGAGTTTGTACGGAACCCTCGGTGCGCGAGTGCGACTCGCACTTGGCCGTTTTTTTTTACATATTTCATATTTACTTAATATGAAGGTTATTGCATGCACTTTCAGTAATTTTATTTTCTTGAACCCCCCGATACTTAAACCTGGCTACGCCCGTGGGGCTATGGCCCAAGGGTCTCCACAATAGAGATAAAAAATAACCGAATTTCGATGAGTCACCAACTTTACAGATTTTTCCTAATTATTTTTTTTGCAATTTGACCGTTGCCTCCACTCCATCGTTGTACCAGGGCCTCCATACCTTTGAATCCGGCTTTAGTTATATGTACAGTCGCGCTTCTTGGTGGATGCTTGCGCCTAAGTGTAGAGCAAACGGCGGAATTCCGCCGTCCGATCCGACTGCACGCATACGTGTGGCATCTGGAAACCGACTGAATATCAGCATATAATTATGTCTACTGAAATCTGACTGCATCCGCGGTATTCACTGGAAGGAATTTAGCTGCATGCTCGCGTATCCACTGAAATCTGAATGCTTGCAACGGACTCAATATGCTTCAGTAGCCGAACGGAGTCCTATGACACTGACATGTCCATAGGACTCCGACAATGGAAATATTAAATCTTTGAAATGATAGAAAATTAAATATAACCTATAAAACAGCGTGGTTGTGTATCGCATATTTACTCGGCCGCGTAGTCTTGACTAGGCTGGAGTAATCTTTTGCTAAAGAGGGGTACATAAATATAATGAATATTAAAGAATCTTATAAGTACTAAAGACGTCATATTTGTTAACATATTTTTCTTTGTCAAATATACTAAGGGCATTTACTTCAAAATTCATAAATCACTTTCAAGCTAAATCCAGCTAAGACATCAATCCACTTTTTTGTCAGTCAACTTTTTGAAATTAGTAGTGATAGAATGAGAATCATTTAATAAAGACAGTTCTATCTTTAACTGAAATAAATAAAATAGGCTAATCTAGCCTATATTTGAATGATTCGAAAACTTTTTCTGCGTTAGCAACATTCATCCAAATGCTTTGCCCGGTTGATAAAGTTACAAACAGGATAGAGACAGCTTAATTGTAATAATCAAGAAAAAACGTGATACTGAAATATCCCAGAACCTTACCGTGGGGCTATACTGTTGCTAAAATAACAAACTAAAAAGAATCAAAAGCTGTTTTCTTAATGATTCTTATTTTGTTAATAATGCCCGGAATTTCTTCTTGGGATAGATCAGGCTAGAAATTATGCGACCTTTGGTAACGAGTTATGGTTGGACTATTATATAGTCACAGCGAATACATTATGGTCAAAAAGAATATTCATGCCAAAGTTGGAATTTTATCTAACCCAAAAGTACCATTATTTTCTGCACAGATAATAACTGTCTTTAACAACAAATATAACGAGCCTTGCAGCTTAAGGCTAGGAAAATTTCGACGCGGCCATCAGGACCGTGGTAGCATAATTGGTCAGTGCATTCGCCCGGATTGCGAAGGGTGCGGGGTTCGAGTCCCGTCCGCTGCCTGGTCCGCGTGGTTTTTTTTTTGTAGTATAACTTTTCTTTAGATTTGAACATGTAGCAGTACTTAAAAATAAATAAAAAACATAACAAATATAAACTAAGAATATTGTATTTAGGGGTTGGCACCCCTAAATACAATATTCTTAATTTGTCCTATAAAAGGTGGCCCTTTTATAGGACAAATTAAGTTTTTTTTTACATTTTGATAGAACAAAAAAAAAGTACATCGCATAACATTTTTTTCGTTAAAGAGTTTTTTGCTCTTTGTAACTAGAGTATTTAAGCATACTTTATTGGTGTCTTAAGCCGGGTACTCACTAGCGAGCTGTAACCGTAACATGCGTGATACAGTACGAGGTTCTAGTGTTTACACTTGTAGCCCAGTTGTAAACGTCGGCTCGCTGCAAATCGCACGCGTACCGCTCGCAGCAGGTTAGTGAACCATGTACACACTATGCTTTTTGGTTACAGTGCATGCAACGGTTACGGTTACAGCTCGCTAATGAGTACCCGGCTGTAGATTATGAAGTATGCCTACATGTAAAAGAGTACAAAACTCTATTTTAGAGTACGGGTGGCAACCCTAATTGTATTATATATGAATTTTTTTATGCTTGTAACTCAATCACGCTGAAACGGATTCACAGATTTGAATAAAAATTGGCATGTAGAACGTTTATTTCTTTTAAATTTATATTTTTTAAGCATTTATCCGCTAGTTGTCTCAATCTAAAGAAAATTTTACTAAAAAAAATCTTTTTATTTTACATTACTTCGATAACGAGATATATTAGGATACTTTTTATGAAAGTAAATATAAGAAAGGTTTGAATTTATTATTATTATACGCAAATGATTATGAGTTACGTAAAGTTAAATATTTTTTTATAAGTGGCTTACCGCTCGCGACTTTGTCAATATGGACAAAATGACTTTGGAAAAAAACAAAATTTAACAAAAATGTATTAATAAAATCTACAAAAATTAATAAAAATAGAATGGCAATGTGGGCGGGTCGACTGTGTCAAAAACTTGGACTATAGTGCAAGATTTCTAACATGCGCTGCTACTGCGCTCCGATCAACGATATGAAATATATTGGCAACGTTGGCTCCGATACATACTGCCGTTAACAACGTGCGAGCTCCGTTCAAAATGGATGAATGTGCAGTTTTGAACGACTCAGATGATAGTTGAAGAGTTAGCGGGGTAGGACATATTTCCTTTCATGGGAGAGTAATTTTCTATAACTACGATCACGATTTCTATAAATCATCACGAAAAAACCTAAAAAAGAATGACGGGTTGCACTCCGGGAGTGCCGGCAGAAGTGAAAACTTGAAGTTTGAAACGTTGTGCATTTTTGATATTTTGGAATGGTTAGGGAATAATTTTGCACAAATTGCTTTAATTATCAGTATAAAAGTACTATCATGTATGTGGTAGAATACAATATTTATTTATTGCGCTATCGTACACAAACACGACAATGTATATTACACAAAAGTTTATCTCTCAGAAAAATCAACTTACATGAATCACGTTTAAGCGCACTTAGCGACATCTATTGTAAAGAAATCAACTTACATGAATAACATTTAAGCGCACCTAGCGACATATATTGTAAAAAATGTATTTTCTTCGCAATAAAGCTGCCACGTGGACGTCCTAGATAGAGACTTATTATTATAATACGGTAAAATAAAATATTACTATGTTTCGTCCAATATATTGAAAGTCAACAACCTTTCTAATTTTATTGTGTGTCATGATGCGATCAGCCCACGTGTTTAACCTGACGCGAGTTAAACATTTTTTACCCATACAAAAAAAGTGTACAACGCCGCTAAAGATGATACTTCAATAATTATGAAACTGTCACAACATTTACATGAACGCTAAGTGTATATTCCATTGCCTAAATGCGTTAAGTACATAGGAACATTATTGAATAAAACAACAAACATTACTGAGAAGTAAATAAAGTGTGATATATTATATTTCAATAAACATCAAAGTTCATAAATGTGTATTCACTATTCTGTATCATCCTGCCAGTCAGTTAATTGGTAGGTAACATCACATCACTCCGCACGCAAAGGTCGTGAGTTCGATTTTCGATGTTACTTTACTTTATATCGACGTTAGTTTTTATTTTGTAATATTATTTTTTAATGTATTCGTGTTGCATTTTCATAATAGGAACTTATGAGTGTAAAATATTATTTATGAACAGAAGTAAAAAAGTGACCACTATTTTTTTAAATAATAACTATTTAAAAATATAATTTTGGATATATAAGGTGGGAGGAAAACAATACCTACTTTTTTAACAGATCATAAATGTAATGTAATCATATAATTAGTTGTGACGTAATAATTAAATGTAAATTAATTTACATTGTCAATTCTATTTGCATGTGCATATTTACCTACATGATAATCGTATTAGAGTGTTATCAATTATGATATTCTATTGTATGTATTAGTTATTGAACAATTCTACCCTGACCTATCTTTTCATTCCTATATAAATACATGTTTCATATTTTAAGCCTTCGATCGAAGACTTCGTTAAAAAATATCCTTATTTTTATTAAATTGCGGGCTATTGTTATATCCGATAAAAAGTACCTTTTACTCGTATGAGATAGTATAGTGCATTAAAAAATGTAGTTACTACACTATGTCGAATCACTCACATTCGTCCGAGTGAAATCCTAAAAATCCGCACCACACCTCTCACATGATTGTACGGCTCGAAGTACAGACACAGATTATTCACCATTACTTATTCACGCTGTGGTAGTTATAAAAGGTGACGCAAAATAATTATAATCGTCTAATTTAAATAAATAAGTGATGGAAATCTTGTCTCTGTTAGGTTAGGTTATGTTAACCTTTAATTTTATTTCTATTAAGTGGAAATGACGATTCCATCAATTGACGGCCATCAGTCAGTGTTGATACACA